ATCCCAATTCAAAGCCTAGAGTTCCGAACTCAGAGAGCGAAGAGTTACACACAACATATTGGGCTTGCCCGGGTCGAAGATCATTCAAAGGAACGTATTGTGACTCATCTTCTTGGTCATGAAGAACAGCATGGCGTTGTGAAAAAGTACCACGTTCGACATCTTGACCAGATAACCGAACATGTTTTCCTTCAAGAAGTAAGGAACCAAATGCAAGGCTTTCAGCTGTGGACCAATCAATGTTTGCGCCATCCTTTATTGATTTATTTCGGGCCTTAAGCATCCTAACAAGACCCGAGTGCACATTAAAATTCTTTGGATGAGAACTAATAACCTCTCCAATGTGTTTAAGTGATTCAAGAGTAGATCCAGTTGAATAAATAGGAGTAGTTTCCTCTGCAAGTTCTTTAGGTGACTTAAATCCTTTGTTTTAAGAAGTATGAGATGAAATCAATTGATATGTAAAATGGTTATTATTACTGTATCAGTAATCTTACCATCCCAAGAACTGGATAACCATTCTCGACTAGTGGGTTTGTAATCCTTGCTTTTTTTATAGTTTTCTTCTAGAGTATCCCACACCCATTTTTTATGCTTTTGAATATCTTCCATTGAAAATGTGCCTTCCTTAGAAAGTCTTTGTACATATTTTTCAAGTATGGGAGTTTGTTTAGCAATCTGTTTATACATCCTTGGTTGAGTAAAACTAGGTTGATCAACTTCATTATGACCATGTTTACGATAGCAAACAATATCAACAACAAAATCTTTCTTGAAGGTTTGTCTCCATTCAGCAGCTAGTTGGCACACAAAATTCACAGCTTCAACGTCGTCACCATTAACATGGAAAATAGGTGCATTAACTACTTTAGCAAGGTCAGAGCAATAAGGTGTTGAACGTGCAAATCGAGGGTCCGTAGTAAATCCTATTTGATTATTTATAATGATGTGGACAGTACCTCCCGTCGTATAATTTGGTAAATCATGAAAACCAATCGTTTCATACACAACACCTTGTGCTGCAAACGAAGCATCACCATGTAATAATATAGACATAGCACGATGACGTTCTTTTTCATCATTCATATAAAATTGAAGGGCACGAATTTTACCGAGTACAACAGGATCGACAGCTTCTAAGTGAGATGGGTTTGCTGCTAGAGAAAGATGTACACGCTTTCCGGAAGGAGTTGGTCGGACATAATTCATTCCTAAATGATATTTGACATCACCAGATCCTTCATCTGAAGGTTCAACAGACCCTCCGAACTCGCAAAAAATAGATTCATTAGGTTTGCGAACCACATTGCTGAGTACATTGAGACGACCACGATGCGCCATACCAAGCACAATTGATTCTATACCAAGGTCAACAGACCTATCAATCTGTTAATAAATGATGTATAGCATTGTTAAATAACATGATTAAATAGGCAATAATATTAAATAACATTTTGAATATTTATTTACCAAAGCTTTCATGCCGGGAATCAAGCTTTCGCAACCTTCTAAGCCAAATCTTTTTTCAGTCGGATATTTAGTAGCAACAAACCTTTCAAATGAATCAGACCATATTAACCGATCTAAAATCATACGCTTTTCTTCACTTGAGTAGTTATATGGTTTTGGAATTTCTACACGTTCACGAATCCAATCACATTGTACACGGTCAAGAATATGAGTATATTCAATTCCGATAGTGCCACCTAATAAAAAAAAAGAATTTTCATATTTATATCAATAAATAAAATACATGAATAATGTTAAATAATTAAGAAATTTTTCATACAATAAATCTTTTTGCAACATTCAACTATTTCACGGAGAGTCTTTTTTTCACCAGTCCCAGCAAATCCAGGTAATATTCCAGGACCTAGAGAAAATTGCCTATCGAGATCTTTTTCTGAAAAACCATAATAATGTGGGTCAAGTTCTTTCGGAGTCGAATTCGGATCAGGGTTTATAATATTTAATGGATCTAACGTTGCAATGTGATGTCCACGAACTTGATAGGCTCTAACTAAAAGTTGAACCTTCATGTGGTCACTTATATCATATGTGCCAGAAACATCAGCGCTTGTTGAAACGGACGTGGCTGGACCAGTCAACGGAACATTAAGCATCGGTTTTACACCAGTTTCCATATTTTTGAAATACACTTGCCAAGACAAATCGACGGACGAGGGATTTTTGAGCCATGCCTCATACATTTCTTCAATATAATTCGTTGTATTACCTTGAAGAAAAGCATCGTTCGAGGAAAGTGATCCACGAGAGTTTACTGGGGTTACTTTGTTACGAATGGGACCGGATCCAAGGGTCGGATAATAGAGTTTTGGTAAAATATTGGTACGAAAAGACAAAGCTTTATTGTGTAAAATAACATGACCCGGTCGAAACGTACGAGACCGTGATATGGCTGAAAACATATTTAATCGATTTCATTCTCAAGAATTCTCGAGAGAAAGAAACGAGTGAAAATTTTATGGACGGACTTTCCTCTGATTGGCTGACGCAAATCAGTTGCCCGAATAACTTATTTATACACTTAAAGTAGCGTGGAAAACATTCAAATTGATTGGTTTAGGGTTCTGAGTTAACAACACAAAATATTCAAACCTCTCTCTCTAAGTAAAAAAATCCTATAGATTATTCTACAATTATTATAAAATGCACCTATGGTGTTTAGCACCATATATAATTGTTTTTAATAAAATTTAGGGTTTTTATAAATTTTTTTTTTAATACTATATATATATATTATTTCTTAAACTGTAGTAGAGTTTTAAGTTCAGTTTAGTTTAGTTTTGGTTCAGTTTTTAATTTCAATTAAATCTAAAGAAAATTTTAAATTTTACAAATTTTAAAACTTAAATCTTTTATATTTAAGTTTAAAAATTTGTAAAATTTAAAATTTTTTTTAGATTTAATTAAAATTAAAAACTAAACCAAACCTGAACTAAACTAAACTAAACTGAACTTAGAAACCCTAAATTGTAGGCAATTCTAGGCAAATTTGCTTGAAAAATTGCTATAAATTTGTTTATAATTTACTTTTTTTAAAATTTAAAATATTTAAATAAAAATTTTTTGATAATATATATATATTTAAAAATAAAAATTATATAGTATTATAGTAGTATTTAATTTTATATTATAAGAAAAAAGGTTTGGATTGCTTATAAGCTAAAAATAAATAAATTTTAAAAAAAATTTTAATTAAAAAAATTATTTACAAATTCTTGATAAACTCTTTAAATATTAGTTTTAAACCTATAGTTTTTAATACAATATTGTAGTTTACAATATATAAAAAATAACAACTTTTATTATTATATCTTTGATAATTTATTAATAAAAATTAAGACTTGTATTAGAAGCAAAAATTTTTTAAAGGCAAAAATATATAAAAATTTAGAAAATTTAAAGAAAAATTTTATAGTAAAAATTTTTAAAGCAAAAGCTTTATTTAAATTTTTATTATTATAAAGATTTTAGTAAAATTAAAAAAAATTTATACATAATCAACTCTCTTCGATGATCCCTTGTACCAAAATTTTCCAAAAAATTTTTCAAACTCAAAACATAGTGAAGAGGTTATAAGAAGTACCTGGAGTCAGAATGAAGCCATAAGTTAGCACCTGTTGTTTAGAGATAGTTCTCATATACTACCTGCTAATAGGTTTAGAGTTTATTACTTACTGCTGGGATGGCACTTGTCGTTTAGAAGTAGTTTTTATATGCTACTTGCCAACAGGCTTAGAGTTTATCACTCATCGAAAAGAAGAGTTTGTTTAGGAAAAACAGTTCATGACAAGTAACTGCTATTTGCTTAATTACTCATTACTCTGGATAAATGTTTCTTTCTACTCACCTTCTTGTTCTAGCAACAAAATTTTCAAAAAAAGTAGGCAAAATAGTTTACCCCTATCCAAGAATTGATATTGTTTACTAGTTTCCTTTTTTAGTCAACACAGTAGATAGCAACTACGTGTTTGGCCTAATTCAGATATAGTACTACTAGTTTGATCTGGAGCTAATGATTAAGATATTTCTAATGATAACAGCAAGTAGCTTAAGATATGGGTCCTCGGATAGCAGCAGTACTTGGCTTGAGATACGAATTAGAAGGCTTGGCCAAAACTTCCGGTATTAATATGGTTTAGAGAAAAAAGCATAAAGATTAAGGCAAAGCTTTACAATAGAGATATACAATATTGCTATTGTTATATAATTTTTATCTACTTGGTATGGGTTATAATAGTGCTTTTTAGTATATAGTTTTTCTTGTCAGAGTCACCTGACTTTTTTGTCCTTTTTCATCTTTGTTTATTTATAATAGAAACATATTTAGAATAGTGTTTTAGTTGTTTTAGATTCTTTTATTTTTTCTAGATATAGTTGTTCTTTGGTAAAAATAGTATATATAATTCTTACTTAGAAAAAAGTAGGAGATAGGTATTCTACCCAGATTTTGGTAGAAAAAGATCTTGAAAGTCAGGTGATCCTGACAAGGTATACAACGGCCAATTTATGAACCGAGGGAGGTATCAGAGATAGTACGAAATCCTTAGTAAATTAAGAATCCCAAGAGAGATAAACAGATGGTATAGCAAGTTGTATTGGGTTTAACCTGGTGAGTTTTTATTAGATTAGAACAATAAGTTATAAGAATTTTAATACATAAATTATATAACAGTTTACATAAATAAATGCAGGATCGCTTATAAAAAAAAAAAAAAAAAAAAATTTATAATAAAGTTTATAAATAAAATATTATATACTGTATATAAAATACAGTATATTCTATATTATTAATAATTTTTAATTTTATTTAAAAAATTATAAATACTTTTTAAAATTCTAGGCAAATTTATTTATTTATTTATTTTTTTTTTTTATTCTTTAACAGTCTTGCCGGTGCTATAATACAAATATTTACATAGTGAAATCTGTCTTAAAAAATAAAACCTATTTCTAGTAAATGCTCTTTTGCAATTACGA